AACTTATCTTTAGGTTACAATGGCCACTTTGAAAAATTTTTAATTTTTTAATTTTATTGCAAATTTATAATGATCGATAATTTTTTGATATAATTTTATTGTTAATAAATTTGATTTTTTAATATATGAATTTTAAAATAAAATTTTAGAACATTAATGTTTTATTTTTTAAAAAATATATTATTATAATTTATACAATAAATTATTTTTATATTTTCAAATGAGTGTTATATATATATATATATATATATATAGAGAGAGAGAGAGAGAGAGAGAGAGAGAGAAGGCTAAAAGTATGTTTTAGATATTTTTTAAAAAAATAATAACGAGTTAAAAAATTCACAAGTTTTATTTATTTATATATATATATTTTTATTCGGAATTTATCATAACCAATTTTGTTATGGTTTTTATTGTAACCTATTAACTTAAATATATTTCAATAATTTAGGTGGGTTTTTTTTTGTATATATATATATATATTGGTTAGAAATTAACTATATATAGATTTAATTTATATTAATCTCCAAAAATAAAATTTTTTATTAGTATTAAACCATACGAATTGTTAACCCTACGTATGTAATGGTTGTCCGCTTGCAGCGTAACGCGGTCATCCAACTAGTTGCCACCTAAAGAATCTAGTAGAACTCCAATAGTCAAGCATTAGTTTCCTGGCTAGCCGACTAAAGCTATGAGATTCTCTATTCTCACACGCAAAGAGACAGCGCCATGGACACACCCAAGAGCGAGTTAGCTTTTAGCTCACACAACAACTAAGTGAAGGGATAAATTAGACATGAGTGATTTATATCTACTAACATGAAAATTAATTTCTGGAAATTAGTCAAAAATTTTGATCGAAGGATAAATTAGAAACCAACTCAAATAATAACAGATTAAAGATATTTTTTAAGGACATTTTGAAAAATTGACTTACTTTATAAAGATTGATGAGGGTACTAACCCTTTATTTTATATAAAGAAATTTTAGTCATATTTTTGCTTATAGAAACATTAAACTTGTTAGTTGATTATGTTTTGTGTAATTTATGAAATATACAAATGTTAAGTGTTACTATCATTAAATCAATATATATTTTATGTAATTTATCGGTATATATATATCTCTTCAAATTCACCTTATGATGGTCACATTTTTTCAATTCAATCCAATTGGACTGAATTATAAACAATTAATTTCTCTTTATAGGCTAAATTCATCACAATTTGTTTACAATTTAATCAAATTGGATTGAATTGAAGAAATGTGAATCATATAGGGTCAATATGATTGAATTTTTATTTTTTATAAAAGCTTATTTTCCAAATTGACATAAACAGAAAGGCTAAATTAGGAGTTTTCCATTTATATAGATCGAATAGTTAGTTTTTAATGACTCGATTTCTTACTTTTAGGAATTAAAAAAAAAAAACTATCGTAACTTTACTTCTTTATATTTTATTACTAATAGTAATAATTTGCTAACCAAAAAAAAATCAATTATTGAATTTATAATATTAATTAATAAAATCTATTTATTTAATATATATCATATCCATCCAATAATTAATGAAATTTATAAAAGTGTTATGTGTTATTAACATTAATCTTGTTATTATTAGATTATATGGTTATATCCGAATTGTATTGTAGATTTATACCAAGTTTTTTTTTCTTTTCTTCTTTTAATTATCATTATTGTTTAATATGATTGGACATGATTTCTATCCTAAAGATAGCCAAGTTCCTACTTTTAGGTAATTAACTAAATAAACTAAAACAAAACCTCGATTTACTTGTTCCAAACACTCGTTCACACACTCACAATTCACTATTAATTGGCTTTTTACACTTTGGTCTCCGATTTTTGTCAACTAATATTTCAGTCCACATCTTCATTTGCTCATCCATTTTGGTCCCTAGATGAGAGAGAAGAGAGAGACGGAAGGAGAGAGAAAATCATCGGCCAAGCTTATTTAGGCCGTTTTGGCCAACGAAAATCCACTATATTTGTTTATCTTTGAGAGATGAGTTTTTCCATGATTGTTTCAAGCCATTAAGCCATTAGAGGAGGTAGATCGGAGCCAAAAAAGGAAACAAAGTTTCAATTTGATTGTGTAATTTGTTTTTGTTTTACTATGCATTAAAATGATTTTTAAGGTTTTAGATATGTTTGTTGGCTTTATTCCGATCATTTAAAGGTGTTTGGGAAAAACAATGATGTCGGAATTCAATTTCTAGGGGTCCGAAACTTGAACCTCGACTTTCCGACGAAGATTCCGACGACCTCAATCGCCGGAAGTTGCGGCCCTTTTTTTTTTTTTTTTGCATTGTTTTGTTTTCTTTTTTTCTTTTTTTTTCCTTCCGTTTCGGCTTAGGAAATTGTTATTTATTTTGGTCCCTTCATTCTTTTTTTTTTTTAATTTTGGTCATTCAACTTTTCGATCTTTGATTTTTATCCCTATAAAAAATATTAAAATTTTATTATATGTGATTTTAATCCTTATAATCAAATTTTTTTTAACTTTAAGTAAAAATTTATTTTTTTTTCTATTTTTTAATATTTTTTATTTTAGTGATGAAAATTTTCTCATATTTAATTTTTATCCTTACTATGCTAAAACTAAAAAAAATTTACTATCCTAAGGTTTTTTTTTTTTTTACTGAAATTTTCTTTCCATTCTAATTTCTGTTTTGTTATTTTTTTCTTTCTTTTTCATCATTAAATTTAGTAAAAAAAAATTTTTTAGTCTTTGTTTTGTAATTTTTTTTATTTTGATAATTAAATTTTTTTTCTACAAGGAACTATTTTTTACTTTTAATAAAACTTTTTGTTATATTTTGATTTTTGTTTTATGATCTTTCATTTATTTTGATCATTAAACTTTTATTATATTTAATTATTAATCATTTTACATTAAAATTAAATACATTTAACTATCCTAAGTTTTTTTTTTAATTTTTAGTGAAAATTTTTCTGTTTTGATTCTTATGTTATTAATTTTTTTATTTTAGTCATTAAAATTCTATAATGTTTACTTTTGTTTCTGCCTTATGCATAATGAAATTTTTTTAATCTTATTATTTATAAGTATTTTTTGTATGCTTTTAGTGAAAGTTTTTTTTATTTATTTTTATCCTTTTATAATCTTTACTTTGTTTTAATCATGTGTAATTTTATCTCTATTTTTTTTGCCAAGTTCTCGATTTGACAGAGCTTGTTTATCTTTTTATTTTAAGTGGTCTCTCTGTCTCATTAATAAATTACGGATGAATAGTACATGATAAAAATTAATCATCGAAGATTCAAAAAACTATCACATTATTATTTTAATTATCAGCTATTAATAAAATACATGTTTATATAAAAAAATATCTAATTAATAATATTATATTACTCAACTTTATAAATTTTTTTATTAGCTAACCCTATAGCAAATTATGAAATATATATTTTAATTTTAAAAAAAATTATTTTTACATGATATTATCAAATAATAATTTATAAATATTAAATTTTATATTAATAAATATATAAGAATAATATATAATTTATCCCGCGCGTTGGCGCGGGATATATGCTAGTTGCCACCTAAACAATCTAGCAAAACTCGAATAGTCAAGCACCAGTTTCCTGGCTAGCCGGCTAGAGCTGTGAGATTCTCTATTCTGACACGCAAAAGAGAAAGCGTCATGGACACACCCAAGATCTAGTTAGCATTTAGCTCACACAACCGAGTGAAGGGAAACAATCCACCATTTCTCTGCTTATTTTTTTCCGTTTAGATGGAACTGTAATTGGGAGTTATTAAGGCAAACTGACATGTATGTCTCTGTGTGGTTTCACGAATTGAAAACGATGGATGACTTTAGGGGACCATTTAGCACAGCAACGTTGACGTTGAGCAAAGGCAAAGCAAAGAACAAATTAGTAAACATTGTAGGGCCCTTTACGACCAGAAAATTATCAATTCCCCCACCCACCTATTTTGACTTTGCCATTTTGTTTTCTCATCCCATTAGTGTGACCTTCCGGCTTCAAGCCCTTACAGATTCAATCCTCCTCTATAGACTTAGCCATGTCCAGAAGTTTTTGCAATCTATCCTTGGCAATCATGATAAAGCCATACGCAGGCTTGGGATGTACCATGAGCAATTTATAAGTTATTCTGTATATTATGAGGTAAAATCTAATTGCAGTTATAGATATACATAGAATATACGAATATTTTCTTATACTGATGATGCCCATAAAAACAGGTGAGGAAAAAAAAAACTAGAAGCGTCTTGGATGTATATGTTCGTTGTAACAGAATCACACGCTATGGACAAAACAAATTTCTTTTGATTGTCCAAAAAATTTCTCACCACAGCTAGGCAAAACAACAAAAGAAAAGTTGCATTCGAAACTCCCTCTCTCTGTGACTAATTAATTATAGACGCCTGTATTGTAAATGGCCGTCCCAACTGGAAACTGCCTACCTCTTTCTTATGGTCAACCGTAGCAATCACGACATGTTCGTCCACTTATTTTGCTGTTGTTGACTGTCTTTTTCTTCACTTTTTCTTCTTTCTTTGTTTATTTTAATCAAACCATGATGCAAGAAAAGTGAGAAGCAAGCATCCAAAAACAAGAACCCAAAGCTTAAAGCAAGCAATTAAAAAAAAAAAAAAAGAGAGAGAGAGAATAGAACTCCCCACTACCTAGATCGATTGAAATCTAATACCAAATCCACCATCTTGATCCCTTCCCTTTTCTAGATTTTAAATAAGCATCAAATGGGTTCACACTTGGTCAAGAATTCGGGAAAAAGAAGGCTGCAAGAATCCCATAATTTACAGGCAAATGAACAAATGAACTGATCCACTCATCATCTCCTTTGAGATAAAGCTGAGTTAATCATCGGATTCCACAGCTAGCTAGCCAGCCACTATTGTCACCATTTAGAAGTACCGTTTGTTACAGTTTTTCTTTCGCTTGCCGATAGTGTTCTGGTTAAGAGGATTCTAGGATGAGATTGGATGTCTCTGCAACAGAGATAGTGTGGTTGTGCTCTCCTTCATAGGTAACTACTAGTATGGATGCATCGTCTAAAGCTCTCTCCACGTGCTTACGAGCTGGGCATCCTCTTACACTGCTGCACTTGTAGTAACCTCTGTGGAACAAATCAAAAACCCAAAATAAAAAATTTCTTATCAGCACTGAGTACTGTCAAAGCATAATTATACCATCTGGCCTCTGCCCAAGAATCTAACCTTCAATGCCCGACTCCAATATATTTTTAAAGTAGGCATTGATTCACACAGATTTTGTGTAAAATCATAGGAAATCAATGGTCAGAGACAACTATATTTGGAAACTCGTGCATAGATAGAAGTAAAGAACTAAAACCACCATATTGAAAAGAAAGAAGAAAGAAGCATACCTTGGATGTGGAGACCCTTTGATGGGCTTTTGACCATACTTTCTCCATGAGTAGTCATCAGGTGGAATATCAGACATCTTCAAACTGATTGCTGGAACCCTCACCACTCTTTTCAATCTCATCTTTCTACTACGCAAAAAAATAATATATATATAAAACTACTGAATATAAATCCAGGACAAATAAGATTAAAAATTAAAATTGATGAATCGTTATCTTGAAAGAAGGAGATATATCTATATATTTGTACCTTTTCTTGGAGCAATGGCAGCGACCAGAAGAGGCACACTTGCCAGCAGAATCCAAATTTTCAGAGCTACACTTTCTTTTCAAAGAAGAAGTAGATAAAGGAGGCTTTCCGGCTGAAGAAACCTGAGAAACATTTGTAAACTGAAAGGCTGATGAAGATGAGGGCTGTTTGCTATCAGTCTCACCAGTCAATGAAGACACAAAAGAGTTCCCAGCTGAAGAATAAGAGAAATTTATAGTAGTTGCCGAATCTTTCCTCTCAATCACCCCATTCTTTGGTATCACAATAGGATAATGATTTTGGTTAAGAACTGGAGGAGGAATCTGCTGGATTGGTGTGGCATAATAAATTACCTTAGTATTAGCTTCAGGAGCTTGATAACTTTGTTCTTGTCGTTGGTTAATTGGAGGAGTAGAAACAGGAGCTCTTCTAAAGCGAGCATGACCAGTTCTGTTACGACCCAGAAGAGAAATGACTTTCTTGAACTTAGAGACGGCAACATCTGCAACAGCTCTGCAGTCCATTTCCATATCCATGGAAGTTCTTGAGGGAGAAGTTGATGATTGATGAAGATTTTCTTGACTTTGTTCTGATAATAATCTAATTAGCTTGTTAACACTCTCGAGCCCTGAAGCCGCTTCTTGGACTGCGTTTTCTTCCATTTTAGTTACTACAAAACTATCATTCCTATAACCCATCATGAGCTCTACAGCCATGATCACTGAAACCACACCATCGAACAGAGAGAAAGACAAGAAAAGAAAAGGTGGGTGAAAAGAAAATGCAAGGAGCTTGGCGCAGATAAAGGATGGGAAAATTAAGGGGGATCTACGCAGTCTGGTCAAAATTATTGACCTCGGCTTTCAAAATTGCACAAGACTCCAACTTTCTTTTTCTTTTTCTTTTTTAAGTTTTTGGAGCTTTTCTCTAAAATACAATAAAAATATATTTGGTAAAATTAAAAAATATATATATTTTTTTTAAAAAAAAGCTAAAAATTTAAAACTATAAAATGAATATTTTAAAATATTGAGTATGCTATAACATAAAAAATATTTTAACATCATTTATTAGATATCATCAAATATATTTATTCGAAAACTGATGAATAAAATTTAAACATATTTTTCCTTCAATATGTTTTTAATTTAGCAAATTTTTTATTTATGTCTCTTATCCCTCAAGCTACCTCACATTTGAGTTTGGGTTTAAAAAAAAAAAAAAACAATTTTATATTTAAATAATTTGTTCAAGGGCTAGCATAGGCACACAAGTCGATAATATGTTCCCTTTCATCAATAGATAAAATTGTGTTCGTTACTTGATCTATTCAAAATTTTGAAAATAAACTAGCATCACCATAACACCACTTTCTGAAAAGGAAATTCGTAACTTCAGCTTTCAAACCTCTGTTAAAAGTAGGTCACTTGCATGGTACTCCAGTAGTATTTGTCCAAAAATTTTATAATATTTAATAAATAATTAGGATAAATTATTCTATATAAACAGATATATATATATATATATATATATATATATATATAGAAGAATTTAAAAAAAAATTAAAGTCAATATAAAAATCTTTTTATTACTTTTGATAAGTGTAAATATTTTTTTATATATATATGTCTATCTCTTTGTTTAAAAATAAATATATAGAAAGAAATAACTAGAGTAAGTAGGTCAAAAATAAACATATATAGAAATCTATTCCAAATTTTGAAAATAAACTAGCATCACCATAACACCTCCTTTTGAAAAGGAAATTTGTAACTTCAACTTTCAAACCTCTGTTAAAAGCGAGGTCACTTGCATGTTACTTCGGTAGTATTTGCCCGGAAAATTTATAATATTTTAAAAATAACTAATGTAAATTACTCTATAACGAGATAAAAAAATAAAAGAAATTTTTTTTAAGAAAAAAAAGTCAATATAAAAATCTTTTTATTACTTTTAGTAAATCTAAATATTATTTTTTTTATATGTCTATCTGTCTTTTCAAAAATAAACATACAAAAAAAAAAACTAGTGTAATTAGGTAAAAAATAAACATATAGAAGTCTATTCAAAATTTTGAAAATAAACTAGCATCACCATAACACCTCCTTTTGGAAAGGAAATTTGTAACTTCAGCTTTCAAACATCTATTAAAAGTAGGTCACTTGCATGTTACTCTAGTAATATTTGCCCATAAATTTATAATAATAAAAAAATAATTAATATAAGTTATTATATAAAAAGAGAGAAATACACAAAAACAAATAGAAGAAAAAATTAAATTAATATAGAGATCTTATTAATATAGAGATCTTTTTATGAGTCCAAATATATATTTTTTTAATAAATTGATCTCTTTCTTAAAAAATAAATATATAAAATAAATACTGTAAATATATATTGATTATTTCTTAAATATTTTAAAATTTTTGGTATTTACCATCAAATATAGGTAGATATAACCGAATAAAATCCATAATTTCTTTTTTTGTTTAGTGGTCTTTGCCAATTGCTAAAATACCATAATTTTTTTTATATTTTATGTTTTGTAATTTGGGATTTTAAATGTGAGAGTGATGTATATATTGACCACCTCTGATATGTGGGGTCCACGCACGTTAATTTGGTCTCAGGGACGTCGGGACCCAGAAGGAGATCAGGTCAAAGGAGTGTCTTAAGCCGTCTGATTGAAGAATAGATTTAAAGCAGAGGTCGTTTCAAGCATGATAAAGTTGACTTTGGTTCCTCTCTTTCTGACGGAAAAAAAGTGACTGCTACTTCAATAGCACAAAAGTCTTAAGGTGATCGTTATATTAAACGATTCCATTAAGCATAATTTGATTTGATTTTTAGTTAAAAAAATTAAAATTATAATCAAATTAAAATTAATTCGATTTGTAATTAAATTATTTTGACTCGATATCAAAATAATTTAATTTTAACTAATCTTTTTATTGTGAAAAAAATGATCCTATCCTAGTTTACTGAGTGAAAAAAAAACACATATAGTGATATAAATTAAAAATTCTTTTTATCTATTTTTCGGCCCTCCACATTTCCAATTGAGAATTGCCTTACAGCCTTACCAAATGTATGACATATACTTAGTCACTCAGATGGAGAACTGCCTTAAGCAAATAGCCAAATATTAAGTGAATTCTCCTAGTCTGCAATTCAAAAACAATATCATATTCATATGTAAATAGGTCAGGCCATGGATGACTCATTTCACCACTGCCAATGGCTTTAAACACAAGATTGAAGCATCTAGAAAATCATATAAATATGTATCATTTGGATAAATACAAAAAACAAAAAAAAAAGTAGAATTTAGTTATTATATCGTATCTAGACAACCTCGGTCGATGTTCTATATGGTTATTTTTAATCTAGTTTCAACAAAAACTAGAGAAAAAAGATAAAACTTTAAGTTGTTGGATCAGTATGGCATTCATCAAATTTGTCCCGATGAATAAGAACATGGAGAGGAAAAAGAAATAAAATAAAATGATAATGTATATAAACATCTATAACCAAATTATGTATATATGTTATTGCCTATCTCATTTAAAATCTGTTCCTATAAGCACTATTGAGATGCGAGAAAATAAATCCAATCATAAAGATGTGAATTGTCCGTTGGTGATAAATTCCCAATTTAGCCAACTAACTTTTATTTCTTAATGACACAAAAAACAATTAAATAACTCTTAGTTGCACTCGTCCTATTATCTAACATGGAAACGAAACATAGATTATTTTAAAAATGGCTAGGCCCATGATTGAAATAGAAACATGCTTCGAAACGAGACGGTACTTGCGAGAGATCATTTAGAAGTAAAACTTTGTTTCACATCCTTTCTTACTCTTTAAAATCAAACAAATCATGAAGTCAAAAATCTTATTTAGAAGAAACTAGCGAGTGATATATCACAAAAAATCAAATTTAAATATTTAGTAAGTAGCATCCAAGAGAGATCGAATTACATAGAAAAAAATTATGTTAGGAGTTAAAAATACCGAAGTGCGGTTGTAGGCTATAAAACGAGCAATATCTTGATTATCGGCAACGACTTTTGGTAACCCATTAGAACATGTACACGTCCACATACCTTCACTTGGTCCACCACCTTCACTTTATACGAGCATGTTGTTCGCATTACCTTTAACCAAGAAGTGAAGACTCCGAGTGAGAAGAAGGCGTAACCGTTAAAACACCGGATTGTGGACTACTTGAGAAAGTTTCAATTGGCACTTCGTTAGTAAAAGATTGCAAATAATAGAAACTGTAGAACTAAAAATAGATTTTAAAGTTTCAATTTGAAAACTTGAGAAAGTTTCAATTGGCATTACTTATTGCTTTATTCTTTTGTTTCAAGTCGAACTAAACAACCTTGGAATTCTTAAAAACTACACATCGATTTCAATAGTAAATATTAAATTAAATCTTCATTAACGAAGCAACATCCGTTAGACCCAAAAGAAATTCTATAACCATGTTGATTTAGAATTCAATGCTTATGGTTTCATCACCGTGTAACGAAGGAATCCTAAGCTCGGCTACAAAGTTAATGATAGTAAGCGATACGTCATAGCCCATAAGGATTGCATTTATGATTTACCCATGTTCAATAAGTAACCAGTACCAAATTGGCAAATTGAATTTACCCAAACCATTTTAACTCAATGATAATCTATGCCCAATACATTGTTGTTATTAATAAAAATAAAATAAAAGAAATAAAAGAGGTCGACCTTAAGAGAGCTTGCGAGTAGAAGAAGACATAAAAATTAGCCGAGGCGACTCGAGATCGAAGGAAGATGATAGAGACTTAGAGAGATGGGCTATTGTGTCGTGACTTGAGATGGGTGAGCAAACGTTGGGTGGTGAATTTTAGAATTTGGAGGAGAACCAACGCTTGGAGGACTAGGCTGGAGTGAAGAGTGGAGAAAAAGATACCGAAGTCGAAGGAGGTTACAAAAGAAGACCTAGTGGTAGTGGCTAGTGAGTGAGAGTGTGAGACGATGATGATTGATTTTAGCGAATGAGAAAGTCGAAAGAAAGAGTTCATAGAGTGAAAGAGAAACCGAAGACCGAAAAGTTAGGTTAGCCGACTTAGGGTTAGGAATTTAGAAATTAGAATTAGGAATTTTCATTATTTCGAGCTTTTGGTTCAAATCGTTTTTTTTTTTTTTTCCGAAATCGAACCGAACCGAAATAATTTTGGTTTTTCGGTTTGGTTATAAATTGTATATTTTTAAATTTAAAACCAAACCAAATTCAATAATTCGATCCGGTTTTATTTGGTTTTCGGTTAACCGAACCATTTGTTCATCCCTACAAAAGTCCACAAAGAAGTTCACTAAATTTATCAAATTTTGAAAAAAAAAATTACATCTCGCTCTTGAAATTAAAAAAATATACTATATTTTTTTTACAGTGAAAACAAATCGCTGATTTTTGTTTTTCACTAGTTAGATGTTCTTAAAAGATAAATTACAGTAATCTTTTTGAAGGAACATAAAATATTTAAAAGTTTAAAGATTTGGTAGAAATTTCATATTATATTTTAAATGTCCTTAATTATGTTTAGAAAAAAATATTAAACAATAACATTGTCGTAATCTTCGTATTAATTTTTTTTTACTGGACAACATTTATTTATTTGAATTTCCTCGATTATTTGCGATTAAAAAATATTATTATAGTTAGAATTTA